GATAAAAAAAGTGGTAAAAAACCAAAAGCCAGAGAAAAGAAACATTAGGTTAAATATTCAAAGTAATTTACTTTTCATGCCCATCAAAGACAAACCAAATTGTAGTCTAGAAAAAATTATCCTTACCCAAAAATGTACATTTTTGAATAAAGAAATTAACCAGAATAATAAATAAATGAACAATGTATTGAATTCAAGAATTTGAGTTGTGATAAAGAAAAATAATATTAAATGTGTTTATTCTGACATTAGTTTTTCTCGTTCCAAAAAGCTTTAACAAAATATTCTCTTTTTTTCAGGTTGTTATAGGTTCACTCTCCTTTAATAATAATAATAATAATAATAAATAGCACTGGTAATATTGTAATCTTTTAGTTTTAATGAAGCCCCAAAATATGATTTAAATACCATATCTCAAAACACAATGATTTATTTCTGTTAATAATATTTTGATTATTCAAAAAAATAATTATGTTGGTAAAGACCGTAAGGGTTGGTGAAATTTCTGCTTATTTAGTGGGTAGTTTTGCAGGCTTACTTTTATAATATGGTTGAATAAAGTCAACAACCCCAAGACCTCCATCACTAACATTATTTCTTAGAGCCTATACTTTTTGATTTTATGTGGTTTATTTTTTCTACATTAAATTATAGAATCGTTTTTAATGAACATAATGAAGTTGGACAATGCATTACAGAAAAGAGATACCACTTTAATTTAGGGTCCAATTCTCACTATTAACTAGTTATTAGCATGCATATTGGCTGTTTATTAGTACTTATAAAGCATGCTTTATTCTGCATCACCATATTTTAGATCCCTTAATCCTTAAACCCAATACCTAAACTAACTAACTATTAATAAGCAGCAGATTAGGGGTTTATTGAGGCAAAAGTTGTAGCTAACAGTTAGATAATATAGTGACAACTTGTCCACAAACTAAAGTGTGGCCACTATTTGTGCTACAAAGCCGTGTGCTTATGACAAGCAATTAAAATAATATGATAACAATTAGCAGTTTGCGATATTGAACTCTGAGCCTCGCACATTCAAACTACAAATGCCTCTTGTGTTAAAAATAAAATCCTGAGTGCTTGACATATATATATATATCTGGGGAATAAGTAAATAATAATAATAAGCAAAAGTGTACAGCATATACACACGGGAGATATTTATAATGAAAATACTAATTTATTCAAATGAAATGCATAGAACGTTCTGAATGTATACAGAGATTAAAATACATAAAACATCATATACAGATTGTCTGACTGTCTTAATTAAGCAGATGTGTTTGGCTTCTTATGCATTTGTTCCTGAGTGTTTGAATGCATTTGGATGTGCGATGCAACACAATGATTAAAGCAGAAAACCAGTCTGGAAATGAATGAATGATTATTGGTTTAAAAACTAGTTTATATTTATAGAGTGGCTGATTTGTAAACAACCATTTTATTTTGTATGAATATTAAGATATAAATGATAAAAATATTTATTAAATGATTTGAGATGCACTTCGTCACTATACAACCCCAATATATACACTGCCGGTCAAAAGTTTGGGATCAGTAAGACTTGTAATGTGTTTTAAAGAAGTCTCTTCTGCTCATCAAGGCTGCATTTATTTGATCAAAAATACAGAAAAATACAGTAATCTTGCAAAATGTTATTACAATATAAAATAATGGTTTCTATTTTAATATCCTTTAAAATATAATTTATTTCTGTGATGCAAAGCTGAATTTCCATCAGCCATTACTCCAGTATAAAGTGTCACATGATCTTCAGAAATCATTCTAATATGCTGATTTATTAGAATTATCAACAGCTGTGCTGCCAAATATTTTTTTGAAAACTGTGATACTTTTTCAGGATTCACAGATGAATAAAAAGTTAAAAAGAACAGCATTTATTCAAAATATAAATGGTGGCGTTTTAGTTTCCGCTCCATGTTCTTGGTCGGTTGCCTGCGCCTCTTTATCGTCGTGTTGTCGGTGCTGAAGCTGTTTTCTGAGCGTGAACGCCGTGAGTTTGGAGGTCTGAGGTTTGGGAGGGACGGCAGGAACCGCTTTCGTGGCATTCGCAGCTTTGCGTGGAGAACGTTTGCGAGGCGCCTCTTTGCTTTCTGTTTGTTCGTGTTGCATCTCGTCTGGACGCTGCACGAGTGTGGACTTCTCCGGATCATCTCCACCTTCAGGAGAAAGATCTCCCTCAACAGAACTTTCTGTTTTTACGTTCACGTCCTCCTCAGAGTTTCCTTCACGGCTTTCATCTAAATCTTCCTGTCTTTCAGCTTTGTTTTGGTCTTGTTCTCCTTCTTTTGTATGCTCCTCATCTACACTCTCAGATTCTTCACTATTTTCCTTTACATTTTTAGCTTCTTGTTCTTCTTCTTTTGCATGTTCCTCATCTATTTCTTCACATTCTCCACTGTTTTTCTCTAAATCTTGTTTGGCTTCTTCTTTTGATCCATCTTTTGCATTTTCTTCACTATTTTCCTCGAAATCTTCTTGTTCTTCTTCTTTTGCATGTTCTTCATCTCCTTCTTCACATTCTGCACTATTTCCCTTTAAATCTTCTTGTCTTTCAGCTTTGTTTTGGTCTTGTTCTCCTTCTTTTGAATGCGCCTCATCTACACTCTCAGATTCTCCATTATTCTCTTTTGAATTTTTAGCGTCTTGTTCTTCTTCTTTTGCGTGTTCTTCATCTCCTTCTTCACATTCTCCACTGTTTTTCTCTAAATCTTGTCTTTTGGCTTCTTCTTTAGGTCCATCATTTGCATTTTCCTCACATTCTCCACTATTTTCCTCTAAATCTTCTTGTCTTTCAGCTTTGTTTTTGTCTTGTTCTCCTTCTTTTGTAAGTTCCTCATCTACCCTCTCAGATTCTCCACTATTTTCTTCTAAATCTTCTTGTCTTTTAGCTTCTTGTTCTTCTTCTTTTGCGTGTTCTTCATCTCCTTCTTCACATTCTCCACTGTTTTTCTCTAAATCGTGTCTTTTGGCTTCTTCTTTAGGTCCATCTTTTGCATTTTCCTCACAATCTCCACTATTTTCATCTAAATCTTCTTTTCTTTCAGTCGTGTTCACTTGTTTTTGTTCTCCGTTCCCATCACTACATTCCTCTACAGATCCAGCTTTTGCATCTTCCTCAACATCTTCACACTTTCCTTCACCTGCATCTGTTTTGTTGCTGTCCTCACACTCTTCTCCTTCATTTTCCTCCATATTCCTCACAACTTTCATAGTTTCTTCAGTCTTCTCATCCTCCTCCGTTTGACCCTCTTCGGTCTTTGTTTGGTGGATAATCAGTGTTTGTTCCTCTGGCGGTTGGTCTTGAGGAGTCAGCGAGACGCGGTCTGCATCCGTGAGCTCAGCGGTGATGGTTACCTCACTGTTACCATGGCAACCGTCAGCATCCAGCACCTGCTGAGCATCTTCAGCTGGAGACAGTGCTGGGATGGGCTCAGGAACGCTGGTGCTGTCGGTCTCAGTTTGGTCGGGTTCTGGTGAAGAAGGAATCGAGTCTGGTCCAAAATAAGTGTCTTCTTCACTGGCTTCACTCTCTGGATCATCTTCTCTGTACACATACAAAAGTCAAATATTACACAAACACTAGACAGTTTGTGTTGTTGCAAACCCATATTATTCTCTTTCTGCCTTGAAACACAAATGTAAGCTAGTAGAGGAGAATTAGATTGTTCAGGTTTATGCTTTCCATAAAAACAAAGCATACCGGTGACAGCCATCAAGCTACAAAAACAACCATAAATGCATGATAAAAGAAGTTTTTATTAATACTGGGAAGATTTTCAGGCTGTTAATTAAATGATTCAAAAATGTGTTTAGAAAATAATGAATTATTGATAATTAAATTAATCAGAATTAGCGTTGCAAAGGGGTGGGAAATTTCCGGTAAATATCCGGAAACTTTCCAAAAATCCCTGGAATATTACAAAAAAAATCCTGGAAAATTTCCAAAATTTCTGGAATATTTCCGAAATTTACTGGAAATTTTCCACCTTTTTGCAACCCTAATCAGAATTGAACCAATATTTGTGTGTGCTATTTTTGTGTGATATATATTTAATTAATAATTATTTAATTTATTATTATTATTATTAATTATATTAAATTAATAAATTAATGTAAATAGTTGTAATTAATGTAAATATTAATGTAAGAGTATATATATATGTATGTATATATATATATATAGTCAGGTCCATACATATTTGGACACAGGCACAATATTCAAAAAAATATTCAAGTTACAGTTATATAATGAACATGGGCTTAAGCTTTAATTTGAGGGTATTCTCATCAAAATTGGAGGAAAGGTTAAGGAATTACAGTTCTTTAATATGTACCTCCCCCCTTCTTCAAGGGACCAGAAGTAATTGGACAATTGACTCAAAAGCTGTTTCATGGACAAGCATGGGCTATTCCTTCGTTATTTCTACATCAATTAAAGGGGTGGTTGACTGGTTTTTTTCTAGGGTTGATTGTGTTTATGGGGTGCAGTCTAACATGTGTTAATGCTTAGTTTGTTAAAAAACGCATTATTTTTCACATAATTTACCTTTATTCCACACCGCTCTGTCCCTTCTCTGAGAAACGGGCTGATCATTTACTTCTTTTATGAAGCCCCTCCCTCAGAAATAGGCGATAGGCTCTGATTGGTTAGCTAGCCCGGTGTGTTGTGATTGGCTAAACCGCCTCTAGCGCGCGTCTAAATGTCCTGCCCCTCAACATAGCGGCATGTGCTCCGGTTGTATTGTAAACAATGGCGTCCTCTATTGTGCTTATCAGTTTGAACCCGGTTGAGACGCAGAGGATATTATTGAAGAGGATCGCGCAGAACCTGTGCAAGCACGGCTTTTAATGGTAGGCCTAAGATTTTAGTTTGTTGTTGTCTCATACTTTTAGATACGCTGTTATTTGTAAATGTGCTTCTGTTAGCTTTTAATATACGGTTTTATCCTGAAAAAAGCTTTAATACAGTACGGCAACTGCACGCACGTCCATGTTTAAACGCTTCTCATAGCTATGTGAAAATAAGTGTATAATTGGAACATTTCATTGTTGGAGCTTAGCTGAATGAGAGAGAGAGAGATGCAGAGTGTGTGCAGAGCAGGG